TTTGTTTTGACTGTTTTCCCTGCGGGGAGGGTGAGCAGAGGAGGAAAACGGTTTAGGGAAAAGCAATGGAAACACTCACCGACTGCCAAGACTGCATCCATTTTCTCCTGAAACTATTCAAAATGATGCAATGGGACTGTTATTGGGTTTCACCGACAGGAAAACCACAGGTACACACACACACACACACGCACGCACAGGCTTGTGGGCGAGACGCACCATGATAGACATCCAGAGCCTCCGAAGGCTTTTTTTTTTTTTAACCAGACAGTTTCAATGCCACTGTCTGAAGTCATACTCCAATTACGGAGCGTCGGGATGCAAAAATATACGGAACACTTCATGAAACCTCTCTATGCATAACCTGAATTTAACAAAACCCCTTTCACTGTCCTCTGTCTAGCAGTGCTTGTAAAAGATCAGGGTTTTTTTTCTCACTGTGGCACAGACGCTCTCTGATGTCTCGTCAATGTTGAGTGTCTGACAAGTCCACGAAGAGGTCCCGACCGGAGGAAGTCATTATGAGGTCATCGCTGATGTCATCTCACAGACTGGAGGTTTCTCCCTGGAATGCGTCTGTGCGAACGAGTGTCGCGTCGCGTGTCTGTCACGTCACGTTTTTTTTTTTACCTCAGAATTCTCCTGTCAATCACACGCCTCTGGTTGTACTGCGAATTTGGAGAAAATCCCTTTTCATTGATTAAAAGTAATTTTATGTTTCCTCCTCGCGCATAACGTTATAAAAGACCCAGAGGAAAAAGCGCACGCGGATTGACGGCTGCAATCAATCGCGCAGTTTCCACGACTACTGACGGTTTTAATTGATAAATGCGGGTTGGTCGACAGAGAACATTTCAGCAGTGGAAACACATAATGGAGAAGTGTGTTTTATGAGCCCTGGCGTCCCCACCGCCGCCTCGTCACACAGCTTCCACTTATTAAACGGACATTTAACCCAAAATATGGAAATTCTGTCATCATTCACACGCTCATGTTGTTCATAGAATGCAAAAGAAGATGTTTTAAAGGGATAGTTCACTTTGAAATTAATTTTTGATATGTTTTAGCTTACCTCAAGGGCATCTTTGTTTCCACAGCATTTTCAATTTTGACATTTTTTGGTCGAACGGTTGTTGTCTGTCAGTCATATAACGTTAATGCAGGTCTATGGGGATCTCCTGAGCATGCACTGAGAAGTCCAAATTAAACATAATTTAATGACTCGTAAATGTAACACTGATGGCCTAAGACACAAAACGAGCGGTTTATGTGAGAAAACGAACAGTATTTAAATAGTTACCTCTTGTTAACAGCCGTCGAACTGATCTGAATCAGATGTTCAACTGAACCGACAAACTGAACCGTCTCCAAAGTTACGCCGGAAGTGATCTCTCGCGCGTCAACGTCAATGTTTACACGGAGATTTCGTAAGTTTTACCTTTCAAACATATTTAGATATACGGGAAATCGCAATGGAAGACGATTTCGATATATCTAAATATGTTTAAAATATGTAAATCTCCGTGAAACAAAGACACATCTTGGATGCCCTTGAGGTAAGCTAAAACATATAAAAAAATCATTTTTCAAAGTGAACCATCCCTTGATTCAACATTTTAGTCAGAGACTTTAGATATGATTGATTTGTGGCAGTTTTTTTGTGTAGGAATTCGCTTCAGTTATCATTTGTCCGTCCAAATATACATGAAGTGATGTGTAAGTTAATATTTGAAGGATTATGTTGCACCTCTTTGGAGTAACAAGTGTTGTGGCGTATATCTGAGTGAAACAGCTTCTTAAACAAGAACAAATGTAGGGCGGGGCTTGATTTTGTTTGTGTTTATTTGATTGGATGGTTGTGGATTGGTGGATCTCATGTGAGTGACGGGTTGCCCCGCCCACACGCCAATAATATTTTAATTAAAGATTATCAGTGGGTACATAATTCAAATAAAAAAGATGTGCACTGATAAATCATTTATAACAAATACCACAATATTCCATTACAAATGAGAATTGTCCATTTTGATTTGATAGTGACAAACTTTTAAAGTGTTTATCACTTATCCAGTCCGCTGATTGGTCCACATTAGGGGTCAATATTCGGCTAGTTAGCGTTCAGTAAACCTCTTCTGAGAGATAACTACACCACCTGAGGGCAAAGAGCATCTCTCTCCACTGCAGGTCATGAAGTAGCTATGCATTCTTACGACAGACCTCCTCACTTCCAAAACCATCAGCCAGTTTTCCACAGTCGCTTTACAAAAACTCATCCATGCTTCCTGTTTAGCAACATTAAAATACAGATATTGCCAAGATAGGCATATTTTTCGTGCATCAGGCTTCAGTGTCTTTCCATGAGCACAAGAGTCACGCTCCGCTGAATTACTGCTACCGCATTCATGTTTTTCTAGAGTTGAGGGAAAACCACTGGAGCGCTGACAATGACTATTTCTACAGTTATTTTTAGATATGTGCCTGTCGTAGTGGATGCTAATCACATAAATAATATAACACTATCCAGACAAACGCACACGCTGCCCCCACTGGCCTGACTTGGTGAAAACGCCAACTCTGGTTGAACTGATCCGCGAGTAAACTCAGCACTGAGTGGTCGACCGTTGGCAATCTGTCATTCACCGCCAAGCTAATGCTGAAGCAGCGCAGAATAACAGAACAAGCTATTCTGAATGGCTATGTGTGGTATGACAAATACCATGGTGGTTTATGAACGATTCGTTCACAAAAGAATGAAAGACTCGGGAAGTAAAATAATCATTCATACTATCTTTGTCTGCATTATGATTTTCCAGTTTACAGGAAGAACAAACGTTCTACCTGTAACGTCAACAGAACGTTCTTTCAATGTTATCTGGTATTTATGTTCAGAGAAAATTCAAAAGTGCCATTTTCATAACGTTTGAAAAATTATAAAATGTAAAGTTTCCTTAACGTTCACAATCAAGATTTCGAAAGATCAGAGAATATTCAGAAAATGTCCAGTAAAACGTTCTCAGAATATATTCTCGTTAGCTGGGTTCCTAATTTGGAATATGATCAAAGATAGTGTGTGTGAACGTGTACAGGGATTATATTAAAATATAGGCTACCATTTTAAACTAAAGATTTGTTCATTTTGTTGAACGAGATCAAACGGTAGTTGGTAAAGCAATCCGACACTGCTAGATATGGTGTATCAGACATGCTATTATTAGCATAGACAAAACATGGTCGCATTAAAAGGGATAGTTCACTTTAAAATGAATTTTTGATGCTTTATCTTACCTCAAGGGCATCCAAGATGTAGGTGTCTTTGTTTCCACAGTATTTTCAATTTTGATATTTTTAGGTCAAACCGTTGTAGTCTATCAGTCATATAATGGAGGTCTATGGTCACCACCTCAAAGAGCATGCACAGAGAAGTCCAAATTAAACATGATTTAATGACTCGTACATGTAAGTACACACTGATGGCCTAAGACACGAAACGAGCGGTTTGTGTGAGAAAACGAACAAAATTTATAGCGTTTTTACCTCTTGTAATCACAGTCACGTCCAAGTGATCTGACGGCTCGGTCGCTTCGGTCTGCGCAAGCGCCGGAAGTGATATCTCTCGTGTGTAGGTCACTCAATGTTTATAGAGATTTCGGAAGTGTTACTCTTCACTGTGAAGATCTAAACATATTTAGATAAACAGGAAATTGCAATGGAAAACAATTTCGATATATCAACAGACAACATTAATTTTTTTTAACGTCTTGCGCAGACCGAAGCGACCGTGCCGTCAGATCACTTGGACGTGGCTGTGGTTACAAGAGGTAAAAACGATATAAATACTGTTCGTTTTCTCACACAAACCGCTCGTTTCGTGTCTTAAGTCATCAATGTGTACTTACATGTACGAGTCATTAAATCATGTTTAATTTGGACTTCTCTGTGCATGCTCTTTGAGGTGGTGACCATAGACCTCCATTATATGACTGACAGATAAGAACGGTTTGACCTAAAAATATCAAAATTGAAAATACTGTGGAAACAAAGACACCTACATCTTGGATGCCCTTGAGGTAAGATAAAACATATAAAAAAATTAATTTCAAAGTGAACTATCCCTTTAATATAAAATCAGCCAATGTGCGTTCATAGTAATTCAACTATTTTGCAACAACTGTGAATGTGGCTCAGTCGTAAAAATTCACTTTATAATCATCTTTTTTTTTTTTTTTTTTTTAAAGGATTTTGGATCTGGATAAAGCTTTTAAGTTAAAGTATTGTACTGATAGAATCGTCAGAGCAGCGCTGATAACACCTTTCAACACACTTAGTGTGTGTGTGCATTTGAGGGAGAGTCTGCTGTCCTTCCATATTAAAATGTAATTTTGAGGCAAAAAACACAGAAATAATTTGATGTTTCTAATGTTTACTATATATATTTGCTTGGTCATTGTTGTTGTGGGTTTTGGTTCTGTTGCTGTTGTAGTCTGAAATAACTGAAATCAAGTGACTACTTTAGCCGCACGATACCCTGAAAATAACACACACCTAAGAACGTGCAGTGAAATCAGATTGAAGCATTCAGCAGCCCTGCAGCATAAGATCTATTATTACATGAGAATAATGGAGCCATGCCAACATAAACACTACATCAAACATTAAATGAAGTATTCATGCTTTCTGAGCAATTTTGTGTTGTAGTCAGAGATCATATTATCTAATCTACACTGGTGAGTCTACGAACACGTCATTCCCTGGAGATCCTGGCACATGAACACAGGACCGCGACCTCCACACGGAGAGACTCGCAGCCTTGAGACTGACGAAGGACCCGCAGGTGGACGGCCTCCACGAAATATGATCTATAACACACACTGGCGTCTGATCGGCAGCGTCTGGGTCTCTCGGCGGAGGAAACGAAACCTATTCCCAGACTCTCGCCGCATATAATTCAGGAGTCCCCTCGAAAAACCAGAAGAGAGAGAGAAAACAAACTCCAAACACTCTTCAAGAAACACCATGTTTAATTAAAAAGCTAATACAACAGGTAAAGGTTTCACAAGTCAATCGGTTAAGGTAAAAAACAATAATCAAGACGTTGACAGCGGTGGGTGGATGAAATCTGGATGAAACGCTTCGTAAAGGGGTTTAAGAAAACATCAGGAGGTGTAAGTGAAGGACAGCTTTGTTTCATGTCTTGTTTCCTTTGGCACGGCCTAACGTCGGACATTTGTTTCATTTCAAATTCAGCTTCCTTGTCCAAGGATTAGCGGTCGGGCTTGATTTGCTGTGGGGCACAGACGGGCCGATACGGAAACGGGCCTTTCCGAGCGATCACGGTTTTGGGTTTGAAACCAAACCTGTCTCTCTTTTTACAGCGTCAGTTACTCTGAACTCGAGTCCAGTGGGAATCTACGAGCGGCTGGATGTATTTTCTGCTAACATAAAAAAGGCAAAACATAGCTCAAACGCATATTATAATGACATGTTCAATATCAGATCAGGCACTTGATTCCTGCCAGCCACATGTCGGTGTCCTCGGAGAGCGTAAAGAAACCTCATTGAGTCGGAACTGCTGGGTAATTTCTGGGTTGGAAGCCTCGAGGTTGTGGCTGTTCGCGTCTCGTTCTCTAGGTGAAAAGACGCACTGTTCCGTCGGCCCCCGAGGAAAACACCCAGGGTTGAGTCGGGTGGAAGGTCACGTCGAGGACCCCGAGGTCATGAGTGATGCTGTGACCCTTCAGAACCTTCACTGGAACAATCAGAGGATTCTGCAGCAAATCACTGTAGGATAAACACACGCACACACACACACACACACATTAGGAGGGTTAGAATAATCATTTTCATCATGTTTGGCTCCAATAACGGTTCTTGAATTTCTGAATTCTTTTCTGCCAAAGGACATTTCTTCAACTATGAGAACTTTTATTAACCAAGGTTTTTTAAAAAAAAAAATTTTTATTAAAGCTAACAGATTTTTATTACATGAAGGTCATATTAAATCCATCTTTGAAACATTTCTATTTATTATTTTTAGTCTTTTTAAGTGTACAGATTTTTTAAATTAATTAAAATATAATATTACAACTTTTTAAATGTCCCATGTACAGATTTTATTGCTTTTATTTGTTGAAAAAATGTATTAAATTACATTTTAATTAGTGCTGTCAAATGATTAAAATACTTAATCGTGATTAATCGCATTAATGTCATAGTTAACTCGCGATTAATTGCATTAATGTCATATTTAACTTGCGATTAATCACATTAATGTCATATTTAACTTGCGATTAATCACATTAATGTCATAGTTAATTTGCGATTAATCACATTAATGTCATAGTTAACTCACGATTAATAACATTAATGTCATGGTTAACTCGAGATTAATCGCATTAATGACATAGTTAGCTCACGAACAATCGCATTAATGACATCGTTAACTCGCGATCAATCGCATTAATGACAGTTAATTCGCGATTAATCGAGTTAATGTCATAGTTAATTTGCGATTAATCGAGTTAACGTCATAGTTAACTTGCAATTAATCGCATCAATGGCATAGTTTACTCGTGATTAATCACATTAGTGACAGTTAAATTGCGATTAATCGAGTTAGTCATAGTTAACTTGCGATTAATCGCATTAATGTCATGGTTAACTCACGATTAATCGCATTGATGTCATAGTCAACTCGCGATTAATCGCATTAATGTCAGTTAACTCGCGATTAATCGCATTAATGTCATAGTTAACTCGCAATTAATCGCACATTTTATTCTGTTCTAAATGTCTCTTGATTTCTTTTTGTTTTCTAGTTTGCTAGGGCAAAATGACTGTTAATCGCGCGATAAAAACGCTGTTAAAATGGGTTTGCGTTAACGCCGTTAATAATACGTTTAACTGACAGCCCTAATTTTAATACTAAAATGTCTAATAATAAAATGTCTTGTCTACAGATTTTATTTGAAACAATTATTGAAATTATTTGTTTTTCACTCTTCACTCACTTTGTTTAAATTATTTATCAAAACAATTTATATAAATGTATTATTTGCATCACAAACTTGGCTATTAGAACAAAATTCCCTAATTTTAGCCCTTATGCTTGTTTCTCAGACATATTTCAAAAGGAAATACGGCAAAACAAAATGAATAATGAATAACATTCGCCATTTAATTTGAACATACACACTTAACTCTTAAATATTAAAGCTAAAATAAAAAAGTAGAATAGAATATGATCTTCCTTAGGAAACTAGTCTTTTATAGACTAGTCACTACATTAGTAAAAAAGTCTATTTTTAGACAAGTCAACTATCCCGTCTCATCCCAACAGAAATAGTTTTTTCCCCTCTACCAAAGTGTGGTGAGAACGCTTGGCCGGTCTGAGGGCCATAAAGGCCATAAAACAGTGAATTCTGGAAATATGGTTTGCTGTATATGCATCAACAGTTTGACTGGGGAAAGTAAGAAGTGGAAAAATAACATGACATCCTGAGTTTGAGTTTAAAGAGATCTATTAAGACCAGCTGATGAAGGGTTTCATCCAGATCTGGCTTGCCCTCCGCCGTACACGGACCATTAGCTCCTCTCAAAGAGTGATCCTGAACGTACTTCGGGAATGATAGTCTAGCCCAGCAGAAACACTGGACACAAGCCCGATAGACACACACACACGGACGGATAGAGAAGAACAGAGCGAGAACTAACAGAGTCAAGAGATCGCCACACTACTCACACTGTTTATGCAGTATGTACTGTATACTTTGTACACTCTATGCATTAACTAGCTGGGAGACACTTAAAGGAGTAGTACACTTTTGAAAAACTTTTGCTGATAATTTACTCTCCCCCATGTCATCCAAGATGTCCACGTCATTCTTTCTTCAGTCGAAAAGAAATTAAGGTTTTTGACGAAAACATTACAGGATTTTCTCCATATAATGGACTTCAATGGGAACCAAACGGTTCAAGGTCCAAATGAGTTTCAGTGCAGCTTCAAAGGGCTTTAAATGACTCCAGACGATGAATAAGGGTCTTATCAAGTGAAACGATCACTAATTTCAAAAATAAATAACAAAGTTTAAGTTTTATAAGCTCAATTGGTCGCTTTGCTCCGTTCTGTGATAAGCGTTCGTGACTCTCCTGTTCGAACTCGTTCATCAAAATGAACAAATCTTTTTTTGAGTCATTTCATTCGTTGAATGAACCAAATGACTCGAAAAATGTTTTGTTCATTTTGATGAACGAGTTCGAACTGGAGAGTCACACAGAACAGAGCAAGTTGAGCATTTGTGCTTATAAAACTTAAAATTTGTTATTTATTTTTTAAATGACCGATCGTTTCGCTTGATAAGACCCTTATTCATCACCTTGAACCGTTTGGACCCCATTGAAGTCCATTATATGGAGAAAAATCCTGGAATGTTTTCATCAAAAACCTTAATTTCTTTTCGACTGAAGAAAGAAAGACGTGGACATCTTGAATGACATGGGGGTGAGTAAATTATCAGCAAAAGTTTTTTTTTAAAAAGTGAACTACTCCTTTAAGGCGTTTAACAGCTGGCTTGTTTGGAGTGTTTGTTTTGGAAGCTAGTGCGTTTTATAGCTTAGTTCGGTTCATTTAGGCATATATGAAAACTGTAATCACACTCGGATCCAGACCTAAACAATCGCTCCGAGATCGCCCGCACGAAGTGGACTCGGCCCGATATAAATATTTTATACATAAATAATATTTTTTTTCTTAAATATACAGTACATGCATGTGTGTGTATTTATATATATTCCAAATATTTTGGATGCGATTAATTATTAATATTTATACATTTAACATAAAATTAGGTTTTTAGTATTTATCACTGCATACCAAACACAACTGTAATTTAATTATCAATCTTTATGTATTTTAAGTAGTTAGCAGTACACATTAAACACAGTATGCACTACACTATTATTTAACATAGCTTATGGTATGATCAGGACAGAATACTAGCTTATTAGCCTATGATTTAAAAAACAATAATGAACCTTTCAAACAATATTATGCTTTATCATCACATTTTCAAAGTTTTGGCAGTCCACTAAAAAAAAAAAAAATCTGCTATTAATTTAAGTTCATTTGTCACTCTGAAAAATGGAAACTCGAGTGCATTGCATTGTGGGATACTGCACTCTTTTGAATACTGCACATATTCAGGTATAATATGCTTAAAGAAAATTGTCTATATACTGTAGTAACAGTACGAATAGTAGTGTAGTATTATTTAAACACAGCCATAGATGAGGAAGAGGAGCAGACTCACTTGTAGACCATCCCGTGACAGACGATCACGCTGCCGTCATCAGAGCCCGACGCGAACAGTGGGTAGTGTTTGTGGTAGGCCACGCTCCTCAGAGCCTTCTTGTGATGCCTGTGTGGACAGAGACACAAGACAGACCCGTCAGCAGAGGGACGTTACGCAGATCCCAGGACACATTCATTCATCTGACAGCGCCAGCATTACCAACAATTTCCCTCGAGTCTGACCCAGACTGCCCAAATTATAAAAACCTGCTGGCGCTGACTCACCGGAGAACTTTGTACGGTTTCGTGGACAAGTCCAGATCGAACCAGGCCAGACGACAGTCGTAGCTGCCGCAGATCACGTTGTCACCTGTGGAAAATGGGTGAGAGAGAACAAACCAATCACTGACGTCACATGATCACAAAAACAAGATTCAGATCAAGCCAGAACTTTCCTCTGGTCAACTCCAAACACTCACTTTTATATAATATACTCTAAACTGGCTGAAGAACGTGCCCGTTTTCATTTTGAAAGGTCACCGTAAAACGTTAACGTTCATAATCGTTCACACAGAAACGAATTTCTTCTCGTTTATTCACAGTCCTCTCATTCCAGACCCATACATCTTACTTTCTTCTGTATTTAAGTATTTTTTTAAAATCTCCAAGCTGCCATTTTCCACTCATTCAAAGCCTATGCTGGATCTCTAAAAC